AAAATTAAACAAACATTTGTATATTAGTTTGACTTGTTTTAATATATAATTTTAAAACAAGTGAACTGTGTTGATGTTTGATTATTGTTGAAATTTATCGCCAACAAGTCACAGACACCTACTGTAAAGAATACGGCTTCAGACTTCCAATTACAAAGCCTCAACAGCAGCCATTGCAAATGTTTCATCAGAAGAATGTAGATTATATAGAAAACATTAAATACCGTAAGTATTTGCGCTATAATTATATAAGCATTTTTTTTTTTTTTACATTACAAAAATAGGGGGCTCTGCAACAATTAAATACTAGAAAAGATTTTAGAGCTTCTTACATCATCATCTATGTCTTTTATCGCGGTATAACATACTCATTATAGCACTAACCGGAAAGGAATCCTTTTATCAGTGGACATTGGTACTCATTAGTCATAAGGAACAACAAACTCTACTTTATTCGTGAGAGATCAAGAAAAATGATATCACTTTCTGCACGACAAATATAAAATAATGACGTCATACGTAATGTTTCGTTAACCAGTTAAGTAGCCCTAATGTCGACAATTATTACTGGTTCGTTCGAAATGAATTTCGCGCAATGCTACACGAGGACTATCTGCGCTAGTCGTCCCTAATTTTGAAATGATACACTAGAGGGAAGGCAGCTACTCAACCCCACCCACCGCCGACTCTTGGGCTACTCTTAACCAATGAATAGTAGGAAGGATTCTCACGTTATAACGCCCACACGGCTGACAGAGTGAGGATGTTCGGTGACGGGATATCAACAATGCATAATAGGAGATTTTATCACATACTTTTTAAACGACTGTAGGAAGTATTTAGTAGTATGTAAATAAATGCCCCCCCCCAGTGGCACAGCGGTATGTCTGCGGACTTACAACGCTAGAATCCGGGTTTCGATACCCGTGGTGGGCAGAGCACAAATAGCCCATTGTGTAGCTTTTTGCTTAATTACAAATAAACAATGTAAATAAATAAATAAAACAAACGTTAAAGAATCTCTCCCATTTTAATTATTTTTATTAGCCCGGCATGGCCAGGTGGTTAGGGCCCTGGCATGGCCAGGTGGTTAAGGAGCTCGACTCGCAATCTGCGGGTCGCGGGTTCGAATCCCCGTCCCACCAAACATGCTCGTGGGGGCGTTATAATGTGACGGTCAATCCCACTATTCGTTGGTAAAAAGAGTAGCCCAAGAGTTGGCGGTGGGTGGTGATGATTAGCTGCCTTCCCTCTAGTCTTACACTGCTAAATTATGGACGGCTAACGCAGATAGCCCTCGTGTAGCTTTGCGCGAAATTCAAATCAAACTTACATTAGTTGTTTGATCAGATATGTATTACATAACAAAAAAAGTTTAGTACGCATGATCACATTATAACCTTATTGTATAACATTATTAATCAACAGCAACAGCTTAACTGAGAATGAAAAAACTCAATACGAAATCACACATACTAAGAGTGAAAAAACTGAAATTACACTGATATTCTAGAATCATTCTGTATTTTATTTTCCGGGTGGTGGTATTAGATGCTATTTCGAAAAACAACTGTTTTTTGGGGGCTGGTTATTAAATGCTGCTTAGAAAAACAATTATTTAAATTTAATAGTTTTGTGCTTTTAAATTTTTAAAATGAAATAACTAGCTGCTTTTATTTATTTTTTTATATAAAGAACAAATTGTTTAACAAATTAGTGGTTATTTATCGTTTCGAAAACCAAACTTTCTTGCTAACATACCCGTAGCTAGAGTGAAATTTTACCCGAAATCCAAACACCGACAAGTACGTAAGGTCAGTTTGGTTTGGCTACACTAGGGTTATCAGCGCTAGCCATCTCTAAGTTAGCAGTTATAGATTAGAGGTAATGCAAACAGTCACCACCTCCCACCGCCAACTCTTAGGCTACTCTTTTATCAACGAATAGTGAGATTGACCATCACATTATAACGCCACCACAGTTAAAAGGGCGAGCATGTTTGGTGACGGGGATTCGAACCCGCGATCCGCAGGTTCATAGGGTCAGCCTTACAGGTCGTATACCCTTTAAACATTGGTGTAAAACTGAATAGTGCATTACATTTAATTTCAAAATTTAACCAAGATCGGTGGCCTCATAGCTAGCTTCAGCCATGCTTGCTTCTAGTTATTTTTCAAGTTGCAAATAAAATCCCTGTGATTTTTCAGTTCAAACTAATGTGATGTTAATGTATCATTTTGTTTAATAATTAAAGTGCAATATTAAATAAGGTTTCCTTAGTTACATATATTAGAAAGTAGGCAATGTATAGCACTACAATAGGTACAATATAAGGGAATTATAAAACAATGTGGGACAAGTTTTTAACAGTTAGGAACGAGTAACTTCTTCACACCATTTTCATGTATTTCTTTTTTATCTCAGTTATTTTCTTTGTTATAAGTTCTAGAGAAATATCAATAAATACCAATTTTAGTTAGGAAATGTAATATAATGTAGTCCACATTTGTTTTTATACCTTTAATATTATTTTACCCATCATTGCTCAAATGTTGTAATTCTAGCTGACTGACATAGCTATTCTACCTTTAATATTATTTTACCCATCATTGCTCAAATGTTGTAATTCTAGCTGACTGACGTAGCTATTCTACCTTTAATATTATTTTACCCATCATAGCTCAAATGTTGTAATTCTAGTTGACTGATATAGCTATTCTACCTTTAATATTATTTTACCCATCATAGCTCAAATGTTGTAATTCTAGCTGACTGACGTAGCTATTCTACCTTTAATATTATTTTACCCATCATAGCTCAAATGTTGTAATTCTAGCTGACTGACATAGCTGTTCTGTCTTTAATATTATTTTACCTATCATAGCTCAAATGTTGTAATTCTAGCTGACTGGCATTGCTATTCTGCCTTTAATATTATTTTACCTATCGTTGCTCAAATAATGATGGGTAAAATAATATTAAAGGTAGAATAGCTATGTCAGTCAGCTAGAATTACAACATTTGAGCTATGATGGGTAAAATAATATTAAAGGTAGAATAGCTACGTCAGTCAACTAGAATTACAACATTTGAGCCATGATGGGTAAAATAATATTAAAGGCAGAACTGCTATGTCAGTCAGCTAGAATTACAACATTTGAGCTATGATGGGTAAAATAATATTAAAGGTAGAATAGCTATGTCAGTCAGCTAGAATTACAACATTTGAGCAATGATGGATAAAATAATATTAAACGTAGAATAGCTATGTCAGTCAGCTAGAATTACAACATTTGAGCAACGATAGGTAAAATAATATTAAAGGTAGAATAGCAATGTCAGTCAGCTTGAATTACAACATTTGAGCTATGATGGGTAAAATAATATTAAAGGTAGAATAGCTACGTCAGTCAGCTAGAATTACAACGCTCAAATGTTGTAATTCTAGCTGACTGACGTAGCTATTCTGCCTTTAATATTATTTTACCCATCATAGCTCAAATGTTGTAATTTTAGCTGACTGACGTAGCTATTCTACCTTTAATATTATTTTACCCATCATTGCTCAAATGTTGTAATTCTAGCTGACTGACATAGCTATTCTACCAGGCAATTTTTGCGACATATTCACAGTAATCTCGTTATACAAAGCATTCAAAACCCCACTGTGTGTGTTATTCGTTAATAATAAAAATATTATTTTACAAAAAAGAAAATGATCAAGAATTTAAATTTCTTCTCAGCCCCCCCCCCCTAATTGTATAAATAAAATTATACTGAGTTGATGTGTGTCCCATTATAAAAGTGTCCATGTAAGGCCAGATAGTTAATAGAATGTTCCAGATAATGGGATATCTTGGAATTAAGGCCTAAGTAAATTTTGTATGGGAAAAATTGTTCTAATGGTCAAAATACAAACAGATTCATAGAGTAAATTTATAAAGAATATGGCTACTATATTTCTATCTTCAAGTATTGATGATGAATTATTTTCCCTGACATTCTTTTTTTAAACTCAACCTTCTGCTCGGTGCTTCTTGACACACATATTCCTTTGAAGTTAAATAGTAAACAACCTGTTTACAAAGCCACGAGTGGTAAAAATAATAGGCCTTTATCATCTATCACAATGGT